TCCATGCAGAAATTCCTCCTGAAATTCCAAGGAATTGATGCCTTGAGAAAGCTGACCTAGAATAAAGAATAAAGCAGGGATTTATTAACAAGATCTCCTCCATGGATGCACCTTGGGCAGCACAAGAGCCCAGCCAGGGCTGCACCCAAGGTGAACCAAAATGGGCACAAAATGGATGAGTGGTCACAAAATCTCCCACTTTAATAAGTTCTGCTCCATTTGCATATTGGAGTTAATTGTCCAATTCCAGCTTTAGGTTATGGAGTCCCATCCTGCTTGTTTTTCTCTCTCCAGTCCATGTTGTTTGTGCTCTTGGGCTGAGATTTGGATCATTTGTCCTTGGTCCCCAGCTAGAGCAGGAATTGTTTTGTCTCCCTGCTCTGTGCAGAGAGCTCACCATCCCCTAATGTGAAGCTCAGACTCACACACTAAAGCAGCACAGAATCTGAAAAATACAACAGCTAAAACCTGAGGCATCAGAATATCTAAGAGTCTATTTTTTGTGGACCTGTTTATTCTCTTTCTTCTCAAGGATGGGTTCTAGATGGTCATTTCAGTGAAATGCCTGTTCTCATCCCTCCTTTCTGTTCCAGCATACAGAACTCTTCAGTAGGAGTACCTGACAAATTGCCCCAAGGAGCAGCTTTATTTTTACCTCACAGCCTTGCAAAAAGCAACTCTAAAAACTTAGATAAGTGAGCTTAATTTAAAATCTACTTTAAAAAAACAGCAAATTTTTGTTTAGAGTCCTTCTGCTTCTTGCTTGTGCAAGAGGCACCATCCTTGTAAAAGTCTTGCTAAATCTGAAGCTCTTCTCTGTTTGTTTACAAAAACCCACCCATTGTTTCCATGTGGATGCACTGGTTGTTAAGTTTTATCTGGAGAATTCTGATACTCAGCCAGGATCTGCTTCTCTGTGGTAATTTGAGGTGGGGTGAAAATGGACACTTCAAAGCAATCCTGTGTTGTCATCCTGTGAGTTTGAGATGCTGAAAACAGGGAGAAAAAAAATTAAAAAATGTAAAGATCTGTGTCCCAGCAGGAGTTTGAGGCTACAGCTCTCCCCTGGGTGTACTGTGAATATTAATGACACAGAACTGTGGGCACTGTGCACATGAAAAGAGGAAACCCAGGTGTGTGTGCTGCAAGGTCAGTGAGGCTGGAGAGCAGCAATTGGTTACTAATAAAAATCCAGGACATTTTCTGTGCACCTCCTTAGGGGTCACTTTGCTGGTGCTGCATGAGGAAATAATAAATGTAGGTGACCTAGGTATGTGTATGTGTATTTATTTAATGTTTTATTACCAAAAAACTTCTTCAGCCGAGGGGAGGAAGGCACATGCACAGCCAGGGATGTGGTTAATTCCTTGCTCTGCTGCTGTGGTTGAAGAAAAATTTTGGAAGCCTCTGTTTCAAGCTATTGAGAGGTTCCTGCATTTTGCAGGCTCTTTCCTGTCTCTGAAGCCTAATGCTTGTTTTCTGCAACACTGGCAGAAAGCAAAAGCATTATTAGTTTTGGGTTTTGTTCTGCTCTTGGGAGGCTTTTTTTTCTGAATTGGGACGTTTTTTCACTGCAAATAGCTTCAAAGTCAAAGTAGTAAATGCATAAATATTATTAGGGAAGGAGTAGATAACAGAACAAGCTACTGTAAAAAATAATTGTAAAAATGACCTTTTTCTCCATGATTCTCCATGCATCTCCAAAAAGAAAAAGGTTCAGCAAAGGATGATGAAGGTGATCAAAGGCATGGAACAGCTGTTGTAGAAAAGGAGATGAATAAACTTTGTCTCTTTAGCATGGAGCAGAAACGATGGTGAGGGGAAGAAGCAAGGAGAGGAATGTTAAGCAGATTGGGAGCTTTGCATCTTCCAAAGAAAATGACTGTACCCAGGCCTTCCTCACTCAAAAGAAATCCCAAAAAACCAAAACAACAAGGAAGGAAGCAACAAGCTTAGAAAAGGGAAAGCTTTTCTTTTGGTGCTGTGGTATTCCTGGTGGCCAGGATGTTGCTGGAAGGCGAGAGGTTCAAAGGAGGCTGGATAAAACCCATCCTATTAAAAGCTATTGAGGACAGTGACTCCTGGCTCAGGGAACAGGTATTAAAGCAGAGTTGGGAGGAATCCCAGGGTGTGTGAGGCTGCAGAAGCTCAGAGGGCACCTGGTGTCCCCTCCCATTGTGTGCACCCAGCTGTGCCCCAGCCCCTTGTTGTAAAAGGTAGCACTGTCTGTGTTCAACTTTTTGTTTCAGAAACCTGAAGCTTCCTTTTGTAAGCAGGTCAGAAATAACACCCAGCTGTTGTGTAGCTGTGTAACACAGGGGCTGCAACCTGGAGTAGCAGATGAAATGTGGGATTTCTTGGCTTCCAGGCTATTTCCTACTTTTGGTGGATAATGGGAAACAGACAAGCAGGAATAGCAAGTGATGCAGGTGACAGAAAGCTGGTGCTCAGGAGCAGATGATGGCAGCAGCTGTCTTGGCTGGTTAGGCTGTGTTCTTTCCCAAATTCCTGCAGTGTGGAGTGTGCTGGGAGTGGGTGGGTTGGGGTGGCAGCTGCTGCTGGGGTGATGCTCAGGTTACCCTGGTGCACTCCCTGCACACTCCATTCCCAGCCTGCTGCAGTGTTTGGGTACAGCTGGAAGGCTGGGATTGCCAGGGTGAAGGTTCCTGATGCTGCACAGAGCTTTTTACCACACCCAGGGGGCTGCTTGGTGCCATCTGCAAGGGCTGAATTTCCCTGGAGATGTTGACGTTCAGCAGCGTGTGGGTGTCAGGAGGCTTTGGGAGGTGGAGGAGGATGGAGTTGGAATAATGTCCTTTGAATCAGAGCTGTTTTGATCTGCTTAGAAAGAAACTGGCTGCTGTAAAAGGAGGGGAGAAATCCTCAAACACTGGGCTGCTCTAGGATTTTGTGCAGAGAAGAAAGACTTGGAGCAGGAGCTGTTTGGGAATTGATCCTGGTCTGGGTGGGATAGAAACCCAAGTGTGGTGAGCATGTGTGGGGTCACTGACATGCTGCACACACATTCCCAACAGCCATGCCTTGAAAATAGAAAGAAACTCTTGGTTCAGAGGGCTCCAGCCCAAGGCATGAGCCTGATGACCTGTGTGATAACTTGGAGAGTAAATTCCAAGTGATTCATCCCTTTTCTGATCCCTCTTGAACTCTGACTGCTCGTGTCTGTTGCTGTCAAGTGGCTGCTTCTGTATTTATGAGCGAGGTGGAAACTACTGACCTGCTTTGCCTCCTCTGAAAGGCAAGTGATAGCTCTCTCTGAGATGGCAGGGGTGCTATTTCTGCATGTGCCTGGACTAAATTTACTGCAGGCAGCTGAAAAGTGTAAATGGTGACGACTGCTGGAAGGGAAAGCGTGTATTTACTGCTCCGTGGCAATGGATTTATAGACAGATAGTTTGGTTTATAGATAAATATTGTTGCCTCTATTTCTGTAGCCATAAGCAGTAGATTTTAAAGCCTAAACTTTGCTTTAATCTAGGGACCTTTTAATATTTTTTTCCCCTATCCCATCTGCCGAGTTCTTCGCTGGTGGCTGAGGCGTCACGTGGCGCCAGGAGAGCCAAGAGAAGTGACGCATCCTGGTATCCCATGGTAACTCTGCTTTTCCTCTGCTTTTAGCTCCTGTGCTTTGCTCCCAGATGGAATAACCTGCCTGTGGGATTGCACTGCCTCTGCTCACTCACAGGTGAAGCTGAGGTTGCTGGGTTTTCACTCCCTGCAAACGCTTTGCCCTCACTAACCCAAACTGAAAGGGGAACAAAGAGCACCAAGGCTCCAAACCAACACCAAGCCCAGAAATCTCCCAGTTCCCCACCCAAACTTCTCAACATGCAGGAAGCATCGGTGGGAGTTTGCTCTTTGTTTGCCATTCAGGATAGTGAAGCTTGTCTGAGGAGTTTCTGCACACCACAGGTAGATGCCCTGCCGGTGAGGTACAATTCTCACCAAAGATTCACAGTTGTCACCTAAATTTGCAGTCTGGGTCTTGCAGTTCACACAGGTTTTGCTGCTGGAAACTTGTTAGGTGAGACTTGCTCTTTGTTTTTTTTTTTTTTCTCCTCTTTCTTCACCACCCCCATCAGTTGTTTTTAACCTCTGGTTGCTGTATGCAGTTACTGCCTGGATTTTTGTTAGAAATATCCTACTTATCCCCCAAGAAAATCTCATGGGTTTGCATCCAGATATGCTGATATTTTTTAGACTTCTGGGTTTTTTTGGTTTTTTTTTGAAAAATGGATCATTTAATTATAGAATTATAAAATGGTTTGGGTTGGAAGGGACATTAAGGCCCATCTTATTATTAAACACCTGCCATGGTAGGGATACCTTCCACTGTCCCAGGTGGTTCCAAGCCCCATCCAGCCTGGCCTTGGGCACTGCCAGGGATCCAGGGGCAGCCACAGCTGCTCTGGGCACCCTGTGCCAGGGCTTTCCCACTCTTCCAAGGAAAAATTAACTTAAAGCCATTTTTTCCTCTCTGTCTTATATCCATTGTAACTTTACTGTATTAAACCAGCCATGGTATTTGCTGAGGCTGCAAATGGAGTAGCTCCTCACCAGGTGTAAACAGTGAGTAGAGCCCTTGCAATGAGGAACCTCAAACCTGGTTTTGTACCCTGTTTCCAAACTCTTCTGTGCCTGTTTTCTGTGTGCACTGAAGCACAGCTAAAGCAATGTGTGTCTGGTTTAACTCTGCCCTGCCAATTGGATTTTTGCTTTAGGGCACAGCTTTCACAAACCCAATTTATCCTCAGGGAGCAAGAAGAAAAAACTGATTTTGCTCACACACAGTCCCTGTGTAGTGGAGGAGTCGGTGGTGAAGTTTTTCAGCGTGGCAGGATTTGCATTTCTGTTGCCACAGCTACGGTGAGCTCACAGCATTTCAGGAGCAGGAGTTTTCAGAGTGAAGGCACCAGTGCACCCAGATGAGTCATTCTGGTGTGTCCAAGGGCTGGGGAATCACTTCTTCAATGGGAGAGGATGCCCTGGAATGCGGGGGAGGAGGCAGAGATGTAGTCTGAGCAGTTTGGGGCTGCCTGGATTTGTTTGGGGCATGAACTGGGAGATGTGTGCTGGGAAGAGGCTGCTGAGCTGTCACCTGATGCACAACATCCCTGATGCGGGCACCTGGATGTTGGGAAGTATCCCAGGATTCCTTTGATGTGCTTCCTCTGGCTTTGCTCCAAGCAGGTATTTAGTACAAATCTCTTTTCTCATCCCAATGGCACTGAATTCCCTTGTCTTGTGTTTCAGTCCATCCTGCTGCCCTGGCTTTGCATGGGGACTGCTGCTGCCTGGCTAAATCCAAACAATGGCCTGCTTGTGGCAGCTGAAAGTGGTGCTGGAACAAAAATCCCTCCTCTGTAATTGCAGAAAAAAAACAAGCCTGTGTGCAGCAGGAAGCAGCATGACTACATTAACTCATATTAACTCATACTTTTAATTTTTTTCCCTGTGTCTTCTGCACAGTCTGTGATGATTTAAGCATAAATTGCTTAGGAAAAGTCCTTGGCCTGTTATTAATTACTGACTGCTTGTGTGGCAGGGGGTTGGGAGGTTAAGGTCTCCTCCAACCCAAACCACTCCATGATTCTGCAGTTTGGGTGCATGGCAGAGGATGGTTATCCTGAATCCAGAGATTTGCCATTGTAACCATTGTAAGTAAATGTGGAATATTTAATAAGGAGATAATTGGATGTCCACCTTCATCTAGGTAAGATGTAAAAACTTTGAGCTGTCCTGATGTCAGGTTTCTTTTCCCCAATGAAAACCTGGCTGGGTGCCTTTCACCTCCAGGATTGCCTGCTCCTCTTGTATCAGTGTTTCATAAGCTGCCTGCAATGGCCTTTTCCTGCTGATTCCTGCCCTTGGAATGGCCTACAAGAAGCTGTTTCCTCTGTGTTATCACATGCAAAGTACTGCTGTGACACTGCTAAAAGTCTCAGAGCTGTGGTGTGAGACAGGGGTTGCAGGGACAGAAAAGCTGGAGATGGGAGAGAGCTGTGATATGTGGCCAGCTCAGTTAATCCTGGGATCTGGAACTAAAACACAACTAAATCAGAAGTGTTGAGAGCAGTTGTGCCGCTTTTTCCCCAACAAACAGCTGTGACTTGTCACACAGGTGACACTGGCATCCTGTCTATTCACCAGGGCTCATTTTAAAAAAAAAAATCATTATTGCTCTTGCTTGGTGCTGTTGGGGTTTTGAATTTCTATGTTTGAAAGTGCTTTTGTATTGATAATGTGCTTTTTTTTTTTTTTTTTTTTTGCTGTGTTGGAGGCCTTTTTCTGCTGTGACTTCTTATTTTTGGAGCTATGAGCGTGTAGGTTTATGGATTAAAATAAAGAAGGAGGGGGAGAACCCTCCAAACAAAGCCCAGCAAGGAGCTCAGGAATCAAATTGAAACTGTGACACAGAGGGAGGACAAGGGTTTAGGGCAGCAAAAATGCAAAGTGAGGTCTCCAGGGGGTATCTTTGGACAAGCAGGAGGGATGATGCCACCAGAGAGAAGTGATTTTTCTCATCTGTATGTCAAGGGACATCACCACTTTGCCTTCATGTGCACTATGGAATAAATTTGGAAAATTCAGCTTGTGTTTGACAAGGAAATGGCAGGTGCCCTAGCAGGTGGAAGAAAACAAGCAGCAGATCAAACATGTATACACTGGAATAGACTTGGAATAGGAAAATTCAGTTTGTATTTGACAAGGAAATGCCAGTTGGAACAAAACAAGCAGCAGATCAAACTGAGGGCCACTGGCCCCCAAAGCTGTAGGAAGGGACATTTTTCAGCTTATGGGACTCCCATCAATGTGTGCTGAGCTTGTGGGGTAGGCGGGGAAGCTAAACAGCTAAATTATGGATTTGTTACTTGGATTGATGATCAAATGGGAGAAGACTGAAGGCTATAATACAGCCAGGATTGTGAGACACAGGAATAGTGCTGCTCACTGCTTTTTTTGGACAAGGCTGGCCAAGGAACTGAGGTCACAATGACTGGGGAAAGCCTTTTGGCAAGTGAAGTTTATCCCTGCAGGCAGCTGCTCACCCCAGCAGCCCAGTTTTGGCTTTTGTTGTTTGGTTGTTTGGTTTTTCTCCTCTTAGTAACTCTCCAAAACACACTGCAGGGTGTCTGCTTGCACCTAAGGGATTTACCTTTGTGGGCAGGAGAATAAAGAACAATAGAGCTGCTGTCCTGGAGATCTGCATTTGTGCTTCTGCCTGGATTTTGGGCTACCTGTGGTCCCTGTGCCACTGGGATGAGCTGCACAGGAGACACAGTGTCTGGCTGCTCTCACTCTGTCCAAAATCTCACTCTTAGTCCAAAATCCAAAAGGATTTTGTGGTCTGTTCCCCTGGTGGAAGCCAAAGGACTGGATCTGAGCATGAAAATTATTGTGGTACCATCACAGTGGATCTGGTTTGGATGCATAAAGATGTAATTAAGGCTTGAGAGAAATGTTTTGAACACTTGTGGAGAGTTTGGATGGATGGAAGAGCTCTGCAGGATCCAGCAGAGCCTGGGGAGTGCTTACCCAGAGTGTATTGGCACAAGGTATCCTGTGTTCCTTGAGTTCCTTTCACCTTGAAAAGACAAATTAAAAAGGAGTTTCTGCTGCCCAGTGGGCTCTGTGGGGTATTTTCCCATGGGAATCCTTCACCCTTCCTTTCTACTTGTTTTGATCTGACATTGTGGTGGGATTTAATGCTTCCAGTACAAAAAATTAAACACAGGTTTAAAAATAAAAATATCCTCCAAATCTCAGAATGACTTTTGAACCAGCACAGGCAGGAGAGAATCCCTCTGTGGATTATTTGCTCTCTTGGGTTTTGATCTTGTTTTTTTATTGGCCCTAAAAATGTCCAGAGGTTAAAATTAGAATAATAAACATTTACAAGGGAATTTTCTACGGTCAGCTTTCATTTAGCACTGAAAGCCCTGGAAAGCGTGGTCCATTTTGGGATGCTGAAGACAAAGTGATTTTTTTCCTGTTTTATTTAAGAGCTGCATGATGGATGTGGAAGTTTGAATTTTCCTCTATTTAGTAGTGTACCAAACCCAGCCTTTTGCTGTATAAACAAAGGGTCATATTCATAACAGCAAGAGCAGCTAAGCAAGGGCAGTGACTTAGAGGGGGAATATCTTGGTATTGCAAGTGTTTAATGAATAATGGATGTCTTTTGTGCCAAAATCTTTCTGAATTTGTAACATGTTGACCACACAAAGTCGTGCAGCATTTCCTGGGCAGGAGGGAGAGCTGCTGTGTCCATCTCTGTCACACTGCCCTGTTACATGGTGTATTTGGGGAAGGAACACTGTTCATTTGTCACCAGATGAACGATCCTAAACTCTATTTGGGTGAGTCTGTGATGGAAACTTGGCTGTGCTGTGTTGGTTTTATGGTAGGTCCCCATCCATGCCCTCAGTGTAGGGATGTTCCCTGTGCTTCAGTTCCTGCTTTTTGGATTCAGGAACACTCCAAAAATACTTCTTGGGTGTGTAGCTGCCTCAGGTGATCCCCAGGCTCCAAATCTGCTGCTTTGGGGCAGGATGGAGGCCTGGCTGTGTCTGGGTTGATGTGCAATTTCCATACACTATTATTTCTCTTTGTGCATGTGCCTGTGTTTTTATTTCTTGAAACTTTGGCCAATTGTTCCTTTCTCAGCCAGCAGCCTCCCAGGATCCTTGGGGTGGATCTCAGCAATGTGCAGGACATGCAGCATCCCTGATTCCCCACTGGTTTGCTTTGTTCTGGGTTTCAGTGCCAGCTGCAGCCACCTGGTACCTTCCAGCTGGGGAAGGAGCCACTCTCCTCCAGCAGGGTGACACAGAGCCAGGGCTGGTGATGCTCTGCTGGCAGTGAGGAGCTGAGCTGGGCTGTAATTAGCAGCCTCTCCTTTCCCTTGCAAGTCCAGAGGAGTTCTTTCTGTGTTCAGCTGGTTCTGCTTTATGGGGTTTGATTCAGTGGGGAACAGTTGCTTGTGCTGCCCAAGAGAAAAGTCCTGTATAAATGGGAATTGTTGTGTCCCCTGAGTGCCACAAGTGTAAGGGAACTCCTCAGCCTCCCCAGGAGGAGCTGCTGTGATGGTTGGAGGTGCTGGTTTAGTCTTTGTGTTCACAGTGCAGGAATTGTAATGATGAAACTGTGAGCTGAGAACCTGAGCCCCTGTGCAGATCTTGTTTTGGGGCTGCCTCTTGGTGCACCTACTCAAGGGATCCCAGAAGAGTTAAAAGAGACCCTAAATCCCATCCCATTCCACCTCTGCCATGGCAGGGACACCTTCCACTGTCCCAGGCTGCTCCAGCCTGGCCTTGGGCACTGCCAGGGATCCAGGGGCAGCCACAGCTGTGCCAGGGCCTGCCCACCCTGCCAGGGAACAATTCCTAATGCCCAATATCCCATCCAGCCCTGCCCTCTGGCACTGGGAAGCCATTCCCTGTGTCCTGTCCCTCCATCATTTGTCCCAAGCCTCTCCCTCTCTTTCCTGTAGCTCCTTCAGTCACTCCAAGGCCACAGTTTGGTGACCCCAGAGCTTCTCCTGTCCAGGTGAGCACCCCCAGCTGTGCCAGCCTTTCCTCCCAGCAGAGCTGCTCCATCCCTCTGCCCATGCTGGTGCCTCCCCCGGGCTCTCTGCAGCAGCTCCAGGTCCCTCCTGTGCTGGGGCAGCTCTGCAGGTGGGGTCTCACCTGAGCCCAGGGGCACAGGGGCAGAATCGCCCCCTGCCCTGCTGCCCACGCTGGGGCTCAGCCCAGGGCACGGGGGGGTTCTGGCTCCCAGCTCTCACCCCCAGCACCCCCAGGGCTGCTCCAGGGCTGCTCTCAGACACTCCCAGCCCATCCTTTTGTGTTACACTAGAATCCAGCTGGTAGCCACAAGAGGAACAATCCATGAAATCCATCCCAAGCTCCTGGATGGAGCCATGGTATGGCTTAGGGCCATAGACCCTGCTAGAAAATGCACCAGCTTGGGGCAGGGACTGGGTCAGCTGACCCCAAAAGTCCCTTACAACTTGGGGCATTGGTTTGGTGACACCAGGCTAACACAGGGACAGTACCCATGGCAAGAAGCCAGAACCTGGATGACCTTAAACCCTGTGAGCCAGTGCTTGCAGGCAGCCACTTTAAAGGCACTGGTGCCTTTTCTTGGCCTTTTTTTGCTGTGTGAAGAGATCTCGAGTGCCCAGCTGT